GGATTTTTTTTCAAAGCTTAAATTTAAACAAAACACAAATAAAATATATCAACTTGTAACATGCATTAAATTAAAAAATAAATAAATAAAAAAATACTAACCTTTGAATGACTGAAGTTGAGACTTTGAGAATGAGACTTGAGCTTGAGTTGAGAGAATGAGAACTTTGAGAAGATGGGAGTTGAGAGAGCCAAGTTCAACTGATGTCTTGAAATTGAGACTTGAGAACTTGAAATTTTAAATTTTTTATTCTTGAGTTGAGAGTCAAATTGTATTAGAGAATAGAGATTGTGCTTGAGTTGAGGGGCTAAGGGGGGTGGACCAAGTTATTGCCTAATTGGTTGCCTATTTGGTGTAAAAAAGTATAGAAACTAGGATAGAGACAATTTAGTTAAGTAGGAACTAGAAGATTAGATTAGGTTGTAATTAGGAATTAGGATAGGGACAACTTAGTTAAGTAGGAACTAAGTCAGTTCGATTCGGATTGATTTTAGTTTTTACACAACAAAATCGAAACCAACTCAAACCATCACTTTATAAATTTGTACAACCCAAAACCAAACGATGCTTATGAAAACCCGACCAACTCGGATTGGATCGGTCCGAATTGGTCAGATTGGGCCTTCTTATGAACAGCCCTAGTAAAAGCAAAGTGGTAAGTTTTTGTGCTTAGGATTTGTGGGAGTTGATAAGCCTCAAAAGCAGACCTGATGTCTGCTCCATAAGGGAGGAGCAGAGAATCCGTAAAGCCATGGTGGGGGTGGCCATTATGGTGAATTTTGATTGGTTAGTGTACGCCTTGGCAAGTGTGGACATCCGGACACCGGATCTTCTGCAATAATAAAAAAAAAACTCTGCTGCTCACATAGCATCTCCCAATGTGCTGCGGGATTCCCGATGTTTACAGTGTTTTTGCTTGCAGAGAATCCCAAAAAAAGGCAAAAAAATAAAAAAAAAACAAGAAAAGAGTCGAGTCGAGTAGTTGAAGAGAACTGTCACTTTCTTCGGTTCTAACTTCTAAGTTCTAAGGTCTAACTCTTCTTCATCTTCTTTTTTGACCTGTGGGTTCATCACTCATTTGGCCAAATTCTATGTTGAGAATCCAATTCACAATTTTCCACGGGCTATACACCATCAAGAGTTCCTTTTCCCCTATAAAAATTGAGAAGAACGCAACAAGTAAGGAAATTCTGAGACTCTGTAACGAGTCATTAACTTGCAGTGACCGAACTACAAACAGCGAACCAAATCAAAATAAATTAGGAATCAAGAAGAAGAAAGCCATCTATTCAATTATTTTTCACCCGAGGTTCGAACCGATCGATCAAGGAGTGGAGAAGAGCAACAAGATAGTTCTACTGATTCCAATTTTGGATCAATCAAACAATAACAACACAAAACAAAAACAATCTCACGCAATAATTGCAATCATGCAAGAAAACACAAGCAGGAAGGAGAAGAACAAAGAGGAGAGGAGCGTACATTGAAGATGAGGGATTTATTGGTGGCTTCGAAAGCTAGACCCCCTCTGAAGTGAATGCACCAGACCAGTACCATGATCGCAGCTGCGATTGCCAGCACATGCGACACCAACGTGAAAGGCTGCGCACTCACCCTCAATGCCATGTCCGTTCTCTGTTCCCGCGCTCTTCGGCCTTCGCCCCACTTCTCTCTCTCTCTCTCTCTCGTTGTCTTTGTTAGCTTTCTCTCTCCGTCTACCCCTGCTCGCTCGATGCTCACTTCATTCACTTGCAGACTTGCTTTCCCCAATAAACAGGCAAACGACGAATGGAATTGGAAGGGACTTTTATCGACGAACCCTTTTCTTCCCCGTGACTTTTGTTTTTCCAGCAATGAATATCAATCAAGCCATTGATCAGAAAGCACGTGGAATTCAATTAATTGATTGTTGTAATTTGTGTACCTGTTTCACCTACGTGTCTCTTTCTGGATCGTTACCAAGGCTGCTACCTTCTTGTTTGCAGCACCTCAGCTTTGCTCTCTTCTTTTGGCGGCATTAATGGGAGAAAATCGATAAACTAGAAAAACCCTTAGATGGGAATCTTTAGGTTGCCACTTGCCAGTGGTAGTGGATTACAATTCTGTATACAAACGCATCTTAAGTCCAGGTACACAGCGTTTAGGTCCGTTTAAAGTTATAAGTATACATGATCTTATCTCTTGCGTTTGCAACGCTTACCAACTAATCGATCTCAGACCGTCAGACGTAACTTTGGCCATATCTTTCGGATGGTTCAGTTTTGGACGTTGATGAATTAATACTATATTAAGATCATCAACGTTTTGACTCGATAATGAAGGGCCTATCTGCACCTCGGAGCACTGGGTAAAATTTTAACCCAATTTTGACAAAAGAAAGAGATGTGTATATAAAGGATAAGTTCTTTGTTTTTGTTTTTGAGGTATGAAAGGATAAGATTATGGCTAAGGTAACTCGCGGTCCTAGTGAAATGTGTTGGCGTGTCTAGTGAGGGATGGATCAACCGAGTATGAAGTTGGGCTGGGCCGTCTCTCTATTCAAAAGTTTGGGCTTAGACTGTCGGACCTAAAAATGTGGTAGGTAAAGTTTGGGTTAAGGGGTTTGGTAGACCCATTCCCAATTTTTAGGTGCTGGAGTTCTACGATATAACGTTTGAAAAGGCATTATCAAGAGATCATATATCCGGGTGCATTTATTCATATTGTTTTTTATTAAATTTATTAGGCCTCTCAACTTTTTTTTATATTCTTTTGTCTCATCCACTTTCTTTGATAAATGGTTAATTTTTTTTTGTCTTTTATCATTTTTACCATCGAGTCTAAGTCTATGTTTTTTAAATTATATTATTTTAATAGATATTTTTGACAAATTATATTTTAAGCATTTACTTAAGAAAGTTAATTTTATCAATTGAGATAAAAATACTTGTCTATATAAATGATGCCCGAAAAAATGTATTTACCATAAATTTCACCTAAATCCTTAAAAAGAAAATAGAAAAATCAGTCAATAAAAATCACAATCCCATTAACCCACTTTCCCTACTAAAATATGCAAAACGAACGAAACCCAAAAGACAAACGTGCAAAATTCTAGTGATAAGCCACTAGAGAGTGGTTTTTTGTTTTTCCTCGGTTTTCAAAACAAAAGAAATAGCTGTGAAGTTGACAGGGATACAAGGTAGGCATGTGGACCATACCTGGCGGCTGGCGTGGCCAGAGTTTCCGAGGGCAGTTAGTTTGTCCAGTAGTGCAGCTGCCCGCCTGCCCCCACCACCACGTGATAAGTAGCACTCACTACCAACCCGTATATAACCAGTAGCAAAATTTCCAAACCACATTCCAATACTGATATAGAATATAGGTCCAAAAGAAAGAAACTATTCTTAACGGAACAAAATCAGCTTGAGTCGTAGTTTCACCAGCTACATTTAAACTGATGAGGGCAGATTTGGCTCTCCAGTGAAATTGAGACATGTGGCACCTCGTGACAACTAAGCAAGCACCCAGACAACAACTTACCAAATTGGTGTCCCCCCTGGGTACCGGTCTGGCTGGCTTGGTGCGACCTGCACGCGGCAT